TCACTTCTTGCCTTGTAGCCCCCCCATTTTGGGTAGCCAATGTCCAAGTTACCCATCCCTGTCCACTCTGAGTATGGAGGGGTAGGAATGTTCCTGACTGTAAAGATTTGTTCCCTCTTTGGAGCTACTGCATCCACAATCATAGGTCAAGTTCATCCAATTGTAGTGGGTTACTCTTTTTTTCCTCTTCTTTCTTCTAGTTGAACTCTGATCATCTAGTCATTGAAGCCAGGTTGAGTGTGTATTATCTGCAAGTGTGGATGTTCTAATGCATATGCCCACTCTTCTTATTAGCTGGACACTTCACTCTCTACTCTAGTCTTCTTTGGCTATGTCACTGACTCTGGGCCCAAGAGTTCCCAGGTCTTGCCACACTGCTGGCCAACCAGGTCTCCACCCAGGTTCACAGAGTCTATTAAACGTTGTAGGGCTTAGCTTGCAACTTCATTGTTGTTTTTCCCTCACTTCTGTTATTGGTGATGAACATGGTCAACAGTTAGAGCATATATTCCCATTGTCCCTGAGGGACCCGACCACTACTTTCCTTGACGTTTCCTGGGCGAGCAACTTGCTTATTCTAGTAGTAGTCAGACTGTCGTTATTGTTTTGTATTTTTCCTGTCGGTCTTTCAAGAAGTATCTTCTGTTATTCTAGTCACTCCAGGCTGGTCTATTTATCCTTTTAAGTGGAAATTTTCCACCTCAGAAGATTTTGGGTGAGGGTCAGGATTCCACCTATGGTCTTACGTAATGCAGAGGCTCCACAGGAAGCCTCCTTCACTGGGCACATTATAGCCCCATTTTAGGTATTCCAATCAGTTATAGGCAGAAGACTGACTTACAAGCTTTCTATGGTGATATTTCTGGCAATTCCTTTCTCTCCCCCTCAAGTGTCTATTTTATAATGGTATGCCAGGGAAACCAAGATTGAAAAGACAGCCAAGCATCTTAACATTATTTCCCCTGTATCCCAGAACCCTGTTGTTCCAAGGTTGTGCCTACATCATTGATTGAGGTGCAATCGATATAGTCCTGCTTAACCCATGCAAACCTGTGTAATTGTTTTCCCATCAGCTTTGTTCTTCCATTCCCTTCCCTCTTATTGTGTATTGCCCGTCTCCCTAGCACCAAAACTATCCTGTGTCTATTCCCTACCCTGCTGTCCTCCACCTCCCACATCACAGTAACCAGCAATGACTCCCCCTCCACCCCTTTAGTGGGGTTCTTTTTCTTAGTCTTTTATAGTAGTGGTCCTATGCAGTATTTCTCCTTTTACAACTATTTCACTCAACGTAATGGCCTCAAGGTTCATCCATGTTGTTTGATAACTTACAGCTTCCTTGTTGTTCTTCAAGGTAGCATAATATTCCATTGTGTGTATGTAACACAGTTTGTTTATCCATTCTTCAGTTGATGGGCACTTAGGATGTCTCCATCTTTTTGCTATTGTCAATAGTGCTGCAATGTACATTGGAGTGCATATATCTACTTATGTTATGGATTATATTTCTTGTGGGTAAATACCAAGTAGAGGAATTGCTGGATCATAAGGTATTTCTATTTCCAACCTTCTGAGGAAGCGCCATATTGGTTTCCAGAGAGAGAGGTTAGACCATTTTGCAATCCCACCAGTAATGCAGGAGCGTCCCAGTCTCTCCATATCCTCACCAGCATTTATTGTTCTCTACTTTTTTGATCTTTGCTGTTATTGCTGGTGTAAGATGATAGCTCATTGTTTTGACTTGCATCTCTCTAATGGCTAGTGATCCTAAACATTTCTTCATATGCTTGTTGGCTGCCCTGATCTCCTCCTTGGTAAAGTGTCATGGCCTGTGCCCATTTTTTAATTGGGTTATTTATCTGCTTCTTGTAGAGGTGTTGTAGTTTCCTATATATTTTAGAAATGAGTCCCTTGTCTGATGTGTCATTGCAAAAGATTTTTTCCCATTCTGTGGGTTCTCTTTTTACTCTTCTGGTCAATTTTTTTGATACACATAAGATTTTCATATTTAGTATGCCCCAAGCATCTATTTTGTCTACTTTTGTTTGTGTAGTTTTCAAAATGTTTGATAGTCTGTGTATTCCTTCATTAGAGCCCTCAAACATTTGTCCTTATTTTTTCATTAATGGCCTTCATAATTATGGGATTCACATTTAGGTCTTCAATCCATGTTGAGTTGATTTTTGTATAAGGCGTGAGGTAAAGGTCTTGTTTCAGTCTTTTGCATATCACTTTCCAGTTCTGCCAGCACCATCTGTTGATGAGACTATCCCCTCCACATGCGATATATTTGGGCACTTTGTCAAAAATAAGTTGGCTGTATGTGGATGGGTTAATTTCTGGATTCTCAATTCTGTTCCATTGATCAATGTATCTTTCATTGTACCAGTACCAAGAACAGTGGCTTCTTGAGTGGATCTGCTAGGGCCAGCCTAGGGCGTGGAGGAAGGTAAAATCTCCACTGAGTAGTATCCAATCTGTCTGGGCAGGGCTGATGAAACGAGATGTGGATAGGTCTCTTGTGATACAATAGTGAATAGGCAGAGACGATGACGTGGAGAGATGGAGTGACTGGGGACTTTAGACCCAGAGAGGGAGAGGGGCTGTGTGTTGACAACCGGGGAGCAAGCTTGCAAGTTGTACCCTTTGCTTGTTTGATGATGCATGGAAGGGACTGTAACCATGGCAGTGAAACTATATACGACAGGATGAATGTAAAGCTAATGTCCTCCCATGTAAACAAACTATCACATAATTCACAATAAAACATTAAAAAAAACAATACAGCTAGTTGAGTTGTACTGTTAAGTGTCAAATGCACACCACATTTTGAAGACCTTGTATGAATAGAGAGCATGTGAAGCATCTCAAAACCTTCTACGCTGACTACGTGTTGAAACAATAAAATAGATTTTAAATTAAAAAAAGAAAAAGAAAATCTAAAACTACATAAAGTGAAACAAGGCTAGGGAAGTTGTACCAAGGAATTTTTTTTTTTTTCCATCATGGCAGTGCACCTGCTGATTCTTGGCACGTAGCAAGGGCAATACTAAGAAATTCATTGGGAAACCTTACTCCACTCATACTTCAACCCTAATCTTGCCCTTCCCAAATCTCAAAGAATGTTTTGAAGAAACACATTTTGAAGCCCTCAAGAATGCCAAAACTGCTATTTTCGTAAACTGAAGAGCTCAAAATCTTTAGGGAAGGATTGTTGTAAAGTGCCATTGAGTTAGTTCCAACTCATAGCGACCCTATAAAGGGTTTCTGAGGAGTGGCTGGAGGGTTAGAACCAGTTTATCCATTGCTTATTCTATACAGTGCCACACCAGAATACCTCTGGGAAGGTTTATTGTTGTTGTTGTTGTTCTTAATAAGTGCTGTCGAGTTGGTACCAACTCATAGTGACCCAATATCATAACTCAGATGCATCAGTTCTTCTACAGTCTTCCTTATTCATTGTCCAACTCTCAGTGGACAGCTAGTGGGTTTGAATCACCAATGCTGTGGTTTGCTGTCCAGTGCTGGTCCTACAGCACCACACCAGGAGTCCCTGTGGAAGGTTTGTTGTTGTTAAGTGCCATCGAGTCAGTTCCAATTCATAGCAACCTTGTATAGGGTTTCTGAGGAATGACTGGTAGAGTTGAACATCTGACTTTGCAGCTCAGACTCACCATGCAGTCCAATGCATTATCCTGCAGTGCCAAACCAGGACTCCAGGGAAGGTTTGTTGTTGTTCTTGTCATCAAGTTGGTTCCAACCTATAGTGACCCTGTATAGGGTTTCCAAGGAGCAGCTGGTAAGCTTGAAACACCAACCTTGCAGTTCAAACTGACTATGCAGTCCAGCTCATTAACCGACACAGCCACACCAGGGAAGGTTTGTTGTTGTTAAGTGCCATCGAGTCAATTCCAACCCATAGCGACCCTGTAGAGAGGGTTTCCAAGGAGCAACTGGTGAGGGAAGGTTTAGAGAGATGAAAATACTGCCTTCAAAAGTGCATAGACTCAGATTGAAGTCATGTCCAGAAACAATATCTTCACATTTTTATATTTCTGTTTAATAAAGATGCATATGATTTTGGAAGAATATTGTTTTTACTTACCCTCATATCAATCATATGCTGTAATGACCATTCTTATACATGTTTCCCAGTGTAAACATTTGAGAGGTTTTTTGTTTGTTTTTTTAAGAATAAATACCAATTATAGCAAGGAGGGGAGTGATTAACTTTTCAGTCTAGGAGTGGAGGTCCCTAGGACCATCAAGGGAGAGGAGCAGAGAGCCGGACCCTACCCAGAGAAGCAGTGATGCCTGAAATGGAGGCAGAGATGATGACGTGGAGCAATGGAGCAGCTGGAGACTTTAGATCCAGAGAGGGAGAGCGACTGTGTGCTGAAGACCTGGGGGGTACAGGGGAAGGATTGCATGGAGGGGATTGTAACCAATGAGACGATATACGATAGAATGAATGTAAAACTAATGTTCTCCCATGTAAACTATCACATAATTCACAATAAAACATTAAAAATAATAATAAATACCAAGGTATAGAATAGCTGTGTCATAGGGATGTACATTTCCAACTTTACAACAGAAATTTGTTTACCAATTTATATTCCCCTTGACAGTACATGAAAGTTCCCAATGCGTCACAGCCTGTTTAGCATTTGATATTGTCTGACTTTTGCATCTTTCCAAATATTTTGATGCTTTTCATATGCATATCCCTGATTATAACTAAACTGAAAATCTTTCATGCATATCCCTGATTATAACTAAACTGAAAATCTTTCATGAGTTTATCAGCCTTTTGGGTTTTTTCTTTTCTTTTACTGCCTGTTCGTGTCTCTTGCACATTTTTCTTTATCAAATTTGTAGGTATTTTTATATATATTCTAAGTACTAATTCTTTGTCAGTTTTATATTTTATCTATTCAAGTATCTTTCCCAGGTGTGGCTTACCATTTCACTTTTTTTGTTTGTTTAGTATGGGGACAATGTTGAAAGGAATGACAAGTCTTTTCTCCAGAGTCCATAAGGTGAGCCCTAACTTACTTAAACACTTTATTTCTTGCTTATTTAGGTGGATTTCTTAGTTTTAGGGATTTATTGTGTAAATAATGAAATTCTGTTTGAGAATATAAGCCTAGTAGTTCTTTCATTTACAAGTTTCTGCTCAAAAGAATAGTCCCAATTTCAATTCTCTGCCCAACTGCTCTAAAAATCATCATGTAAATGGTCTCAATCTGATACTTGTGATTGAGAATTTACCACAATAGGAGAATTAACTTTTTTTTTCAATTCAACATTGATAAATTGTCTTTATTAACTTTTATCATTTCTCTAGTAGAATTAATGATTATTACCCCTTAATGAAATATCTGAGAGAAAAATAAGTTGCCAGTTCAAACCTTTAGCAAATAGTTTTATCAATGCCCTCCATCTGCTAGGTACTCAGGATCCTGAGATAACTCATTTCACTCATATAGTTAGCATCTGTTGGGATTCATTTTGTGCCAGGCACTGTACTAAGTGCTTCATTTCATTTAATTCTCATGACCAACTCCTGAGAAAGATATTAACTCTGTTTCACAGATGTACAAACAGAAGGCTAAGTAACTTACCTATAGTAACAGGCTCTGAAGTTGGATAGTCCAAACTAAATGTCAGGACGGCCTTCAAAGCTTATGGCCTTAACCATTATGCTATATTTCATCTTATGGTCCATGTTTTGAAGAATCCTACAGCCCGATGGTAGAAATTTGTATAAGTGACTGTTAGAGTATAGTGATGTTACAGCATCCAAAAGGAGCCCCAAACTTGGGTTAGTAGGGTCCAGAAGAAATTCTCCAAGAGCCAAGCCCTAAAGGGTAAGAACTGGACCTCAAGAATTGGTCACTTTCACCGGGTTATTTCATTGTAGACTAGATTTTCTAGAGAAGGATCCTTTCCTCAGCTGTTTATGATTGTTGTTGGTTGTTAAGTGCCGTAGAGTCAATTCTGACCCATAGCAACCCTGTGTAGGGTTTCCAAGAAGCATCTGGTGAACTTGAACCACTGACCTTGCACTTCAAACTACTTTGCAGTCTGACGCATTAGCCCACAGCGCCACACCAGGACTCTGGTGTTCATGATGTTGTTATTGTTGTTAAGTGCCATCAAGTCGATTCCGACCCATAGCAACCCTGTAAAGGGTTTTCCAAGGCTGTAAAAATCTTGACGGGAGTAGAAAGCCTCATCTTTCTCCCGCAAAGCAACTGGTAGTTTCGAACTGCTGATCTTAAGGTTTGCAGCCTGATTCATAACCACTACACTACCAGATATACCTATGCATATAAAATAAAAATAAAAGCAAAATCAACATAGAAGTAGATTCTGGCTTCAACTAATCCTATTAAAGGACTACAATTTCTTCATCCTTAGTGCCAAATAAGAAAAATTTCTTGAGGTCAGACTGTGAAGAGATGTCAGTAAGAAAAAATGTTGTGGGTTTTTTTTGTTTTGTTTTTCTAATAGCTTGTCTCAGAGTGACCTTCTTATTCTTAGTTGACTCACAAATGCTGTTCTTTCAAAAACTGTATAGTGTTCATTCTGAAACTATGCAGAGAAAATTGTGGATATGGTTGTTTTCTGTGGGAACAACAGATTTGGTGGGTGGTGCCATGTATTATACTAAGAAGTAAGGAATCCATTTTGCTAGCTTCTAGTTTGTGCTACATAAAGCATAACTAAAACATCATTAGATTACTATAGAAATAGCACCCCCCTGTGGCCCTTTAATTTCTTTAGTTTTTCACTTGACTTGCATTTTAAAAAAGCATTGTCCTTTCTCTCCAGTAGATTAAATTTAGTAGTATTATTGTTGTTGTTTTTGTTGTTATTGGTAGGTGCCATCCAGTCAGTTCAACTCATGTAGAACCTATGCATAATAGACAAAAGCACTGTGTTGTCCTGTGCCATCCTCATAACTGTTATATTTGAACCCATTGTTGCTGCCACTGTGTCAGTCCATCTCCTTGGTGGGGGGGGAGGGGGGATTCCTCTTTTTCACTGACCCTCCACTTTTTCACTGACCCTCCACTTTACCAAGCATGATAGAGATGATTGGAAATACTCTGGCTTGTTCAGGGGCACCTCAGTCCTCAAAGTGACATCTTTCCTCTTTAACACTTGAAAGATGTCTTTTGCAGCAGATTTGCTTAATATAGTATGTCCTTTGATTTGTTGATTCCATGAGCATTGATTATAGATCTAAGCAAATTAAATCTTTGACTTCACTCTTTTCTCCATTTGTTGTGATATTATTTATAGATCCAGTTGTGAGGATTTTTGTTTTCTTTCATTGAGGTGCAGTTCATACTGAAGGCTGTAGTCTTTGATCTTCATCAGTATTTCAAGTCCTCTATGATTTCAGCAAGATTGTGTCATCTGCATATTACAGGTTGTTCATGTGTCTTCCTCCCATCCTGATGCCACATTTTTCTTCATATAATCTAGTTTATCTGATTAGTTGCTTAGCATACAGATTGAAAAAGTATGGTGAAAGGACACAACCCTAGCACACATCTTTCTTGATTTTAAACTATTCAGTATCCCTTTGTTCTATTTGAAACACTGAATCTTAGTCTATATATAGGTTCCTCAT